GGAGGGAGCAGCGCTGGGGGGCTGAAACCGTTCAATTCGAGGTGCTTTATTAGCATGACCGGTGGGTACAATCCGTGAACTCACCAGGAAGGGAGACTTTCCACAACATGGGCATTCGAGGCGGTACAGCGCAGTGTTTCTAGCGCCGCAACGGTAAAACCGCGGTACGGACCGGGGGCAATCTCCTGCGAGACCGGTGACAGGCGCCGAAATAGGAGGAGAAATAGTCAAGGTGCTAAAAGGACATTTGGCGCAGGTAAGTCAGTCAGTCAGTCAGAAGTCCCCGTCAGTAATGTTCAGTTGCAGCATGACTGACGCTGAGGTTACAGTTAAGGGCAGCAGGGTGAGCCGATCGCCCAGCCAGACCTTGAGGGAAGAGGGGTTGCTCACACACGGTACAGGGCTCTATTCCGTCAGCAGTGGAGCTCTGGACTCACACTGCTGTTGTACCCCTGAGCAAAGTGCTCCACCAGATGTAAAACACCCGACAGAGACTTCCTGCAAAAGGGTGCAAGTGTTAATCGCTTTGGATGAAAGTGACCGCTGAATAAATCAATCAACAATACACCTTTTAGTAGGATATTCCTGCTCTCATTCAAGAGCGGGTCACCGACCGAAGGATTGCAAACGTGCAAAAGCCGATGCATTGAGACAGAGGGACATTTTAGGAGACGGTCTTACTTCTGTTGCCGGTAGGGTTATGGAAACAAAACTAAAGAATGCTTAGAAAACACCAGCACTTTGAGAGATGGCCAGCATGAGGTTAGAAGGGAATGGTGTCCTTTAACTACCTTGCTTGAGCTCTCCTGACAAGCAACAAGAACATTCAACACCATCAAGGCACAGACATGATCCATTCAGATTTCCAGAAGGCTTTTGCCAAAGACTTTCCTAAAACGTGGGTTCCCAGATTAAAAGCCACAGGAATCCCAGGTAATGCCTAAACTTGGCTTGGGAACAGGTAAACAGAGCACTGTCTTAAGAGGCATGAGCAGATGTCCACAGTGAGGCTCCACAGGGCTCTGTTGTCCTCTGGTCTTTTCTGTTCTGTATTCACATGTATGGTCACCTGCATTGTTAAGCGCCTTGGGGCAACCTTGTTGTGAAAGGCGCTATATAAAAATATATTTTAATTGAATAATTTTCTACTGATGGTCGGGTTATACGTTTCTTAACGGACACCTTGTAACAACACCTCGCTACTTCTGTCTGCTCTAGGAAGTGACACATCACAAGACGGAGGGGGCCGAAGACTTATTTATTAATAAACCAGCAAGCCAGAAAGGAAAGTACAGTGCATAGGAATGTGCACGATAACCAAACAATATAAAAAATAGAACCAAAACCGTGCACCGGTAAAACAGAGCAGGTAACAGGGAAAAGTGCTATCGAGTCTAGCCATGCCATTAGGAATGTCACCGACAACATCTGGACAAGCTATGTACAGCCACACCATAAAGACATTCATAAGTGTCTCACTGTGCAGTAGGGGGCCGCTGGGACCTCCAGCCTGTGTAGTGTTCAAGGACGTTCTGGACACCAGAGAGGAATCTCCCCAATAATGTGGTGTGTGCAGGGTCCTTACGCTGCGCTGCCGTGCCCGAGGGTGGGGTGCAGTGTCCAGTCGCTGAGGGGCAGCGGGGGTCGGCTCAGCGTGGGGCCCGGTGGTCGCGTCCCTGCAGGACTCTGGCGGCCCCTGTAACGCGGGTTCGCCGCGAGGCTGGACTGCACGTCTTGCGGAGCAGTGGGGCGGGGCTGGGCGTGCTGGGCCAGAGGTGGGAGGGACGGCGTCCCGCGGCGCTGCAGATGAGCGCACCAGCGGTCAGGCTGAAAGGGGGAAGCGGTTGCACCACCGTCACGCTGTTCGGTTCGTCTGGCCGGCTGCACTTCCAGGAATTCTCCAAGCAGAACTTCCTAGTAGAGCAGCTGTGGTGGGGGGGGCAGATGGCTTCAGCATGGGCAGCGTTAATCTGACCGCGGCCAGGCTCCAGCGCAGCAGGCACACGCAAGGGCCTGGCTCTGCGCACAGCAGCCTGGGAAACCCAACAGCAGGGGCCACAGCAGGCGTGCTGTCCGCAGGGGCGGACTCGTCACACTGCTGCTGCTGGGGGGGGGGGGCAGGGAATCTCAACACTGTTCCTGGGAGGCCCGGCTTTTACTGCAGCAGTCGAAACCTGAGATTCTTCCAGCACGCCGTGCAACGACTGACACTGGGGAACGGAAAATGAATCATATTTCGGGGGCCTGTTTAATAACTATTGCAGCTGGATATCGGAGTACACCTTGAAATTCACCTCCAAAAACGATTATGCAGGGTAGTGCCATTGGCTTATGCAAAGCTGGGTAAATATACCATCATATGTCTAGAATAGAAAGATGAATGATTGATTATACAGTAAGATTAAAACAGCAACTGGAGATCCAGGAGTCTCTACTGAAGTCTACGTGCTGTGACACAAGATGGGAGTAGCCAGCTGGTCCAGCGGGTTTACAGGAACAGGAAGCAATGCAGTCAGGTCTGTGGTTTCCATGCAGCTGGAGGATCTTCACAGGCTGAAGTCAAAGGTCAGGTCCGACTTGCCCATCTTCTGCTTGTAGACCGCGTCGAACTTCTCGTTCATCGAGACGGTGAAGATGTCCTTCCACAGGCCCACGCGCCCTGAGAACAGGGTTACAGGGAGAACAGGGTCACAGGAGCACCTCTTCCCCTGGGGGCTCTCAGGCCACAGGGTGGGCAGGGGTTTGAGATGCCTGCCCTACTCAGGTTTCAGGAAGACAACTTCCATTATAGCACTAACCTCGTTCAGAAGCTTTCTTATTTGGCACCCAACAAACAGAAAGCCATTTCACCCCAGACGGGCTCTCACACACTCCGGTATTCAGATTCATTCCTTATTACACATCTAAAGAGGCTTTCCTGTTGCTAGTGCATAAGGGGAAAATAAGGGAGCTTCATGGAGAACGAATTACTGTTCCCCGGTAATTACTACGCTGCAGAGTAAAACAAGCAGGAAAGGTGAAAAACAGCACCTGATGCAACACACCCCCGTCCAACTCCCACTTCAAAACAGACCAAAATCTTTTGAGAACTTGTACAGCAAAAATCGATCACATTGAACAAAATGAGATGGACTGCAGAATCCTTAATCTTGTGCTGGTCTTCCTGGAGATGTGCTAACCGATTCCCATGTCCCGGAACAGCGGGATTCTCAGTTCACCGAAAGGTGTACAAAATAAACAATTGACACTGCGCAGTGTGGTTTCCTCTTTGCAGGAACTGTGATAGCCTTCCTGCCTGTCCCTCATGGGCAGTAAACCGCTGCCTCTCGCTGCACAGCTCAGGAGCACCACTCACCTCGAGCAGAGAGCTGGATCACACCCCTGCACTCCTACCGCAGGACTGCGGGAAACAAAGCCTCTACAGACTTGTCACTTTACAGCCCAATGTCAACGCATCTTCAACTCAAGTGATCCATGCACTAAAAGAAAGGGAATGGAGGGGGAAACAAATCTAACAAAAATAAACGATAAACAATAAACACATGGAGATCAGAAAGTATGAAGCCATAGGAAACAAACCAACTGAAAAAAAAGAACAAAATGATGCAATTTAGTTACAAAAATAATCTTTAAAAGTAACTGTATGAACATAAACTTAAAAACAGAGTAAAAAAGGATCCTACGTATGGCAGAAAACAAAATCATAATGATAATAACGAGATTACATCATGAAAAAATAAATAAGTGAACACTATACACGTATAAAAGTGGTGTGCTCTGGGGATTTTCTGCCGTTTCTCGTCGCACTCTCCTTTCTGTTATCTCCGGAATGGCCAGCAGGTGGCGGAGTACCACTTGGCAATAATACACAGCACACTCGGCTTTGTGCTGCTGGAAATCCTGTATTTAATAGGATAATCCTGTATCCTGAAAGGGACAGTTGAGGAAAACATGCAAACATCCTTGTGAAACAGTTTTGTATCAGGCCATGTACCTCCGTTTATATAGGTTTCAGTTAGTAAAGGGAAGTGCATTTAAAATTAAAAACAGGAGGTACTGTTCACACAGTGGGAGCCTGGAACAAGCCTCCCATCCATGCTGTCAAAACTAGTACCCCAGTTTTTTTTACTATTAGCAACCAAACAAGATGGCTGGTCTGAAGCCTCTCTTATGTTCTGAATGATACAGTAATAAGATAAGATTAGATAAGAGGACTTTATTGGCCATGTACAATTTCTTGCATTAGGAATTTGTCTTTTCGCAGACCCCAGCTTGCTCTTCATGAGACACACAGACAGGGAGAGAAGCTGGGGGTCAGAGCGCAGGGTCGGGCATTCATACAGCGCCCCCGGAGCAGTTGGGGTGAAGGGCCTTGCTCAGGGGCCCAACGGAGTAGGATTCCTCTGCTGGCTACGGGATACGAACCGGCAACCTTCCAGCCACAGGCGCAGATAGCCAGAGAGCAGGGGGCAGGAGGGGCAGGAGAGGAGGGGGAGCAACACGGGGCAGGAGGGGCAGGAGAGGAGGGGGAGCAGCGGGGGGCAGGAGAGGAGGGGGAACAGCGGGGGGCAGGAGAGGAGGGGGAACAGCGGGGGGCAGGAGAGTAGGGGGAGCAATGCAGGGCAGCTCTGAATGGCCCTCTCTCATCTGAAGCCTCTTACATTCTGAATGATACAGTAATAACAGCAGGTTAGCAAGGTAAAGGTGTGTCCACTGAGATTTATGGTTGCACTAAATTGTACCTTGCACTGTAATGGAAGACTAACTCAACTCAAACCAAACTGAAACTGAGAGGTTCTCAGTGCGATATTGAAGGGGTCAGGGCCAGGAGCATCCCAGCTGGTCATGTGACAGCCCTGCCTGTCTGAAGAGGTGGCATGACAGGGCAGAGCTCGCCGCCAGCTGAACTGAGCCCATAACCCTGACTGCAGCTCAGGCAGTGGCTGTGGCTACACCCAGGAGGAAGGTCAGCCAGACCTGCAGAGTCAGCACATCTGCTTGCCAAGGGAAGTCGGGTTCATGTGCGTTCAAACTGTGGGGCAGATATCGCCCTAGCTGCTTTCAGAGATAAGAGGAAAAACTCTTTAAAATTACTTTAGTTAAAACAATATTTCAACACATTTTAGTAAAGGGGTTGTAGCCGACTCCATCCTTAAAAAACGCTGGCTCCAGGAATCTGGGCACGTTAAAAATCCACGATGACAGCAACTTTAAAGTGCAAGAGGTTTCATGTAGGAGTTTTTGCAGGTCTTACACATCAAAGGCTAACAGGAGAGAGGTTCCCCCACCACCACTGCTCCTAATGCCCACTAACACCACTGATTAATACCACGTGAGAATGTAGAATTTAACACGTAACAAATTATATAATTAATGAACCTATTGACACCCAATGAGCCTATCTACAGTAGAGGCCTCCCTTTGGCGGCCTCTAGTGGCGGGTTAGGCGTTACTACAGTCCCTTCACAGACGGGCCTTGCACCTGCAGATCTGGATGCTTCTCAAAATTTAGCACTGGGAAAAAAACCAATGAGAGGCCAACTGTTTTTAAATCTCTCACGAGAAATATCATGGCATCTAGTTTTCACAGCCTGCTCTAATGGCGGCACACAACACAAGCAAGGCAACAGGAACAGACCTAAATCTGAGTTAGATTAGTATATTGGGACTGGGCAATTAAACCATTTTTTTGCTGCTAGATGACATTTTTTTTGTAACTGTGATAATCGGAGAGACCTACATGGTTCTTTGATGATTCAGCCTTGATAAGAAAATCGCCATGAGATGAAAAGCACCCCCCCCGCCCTACCACTCTCTTCCTGTGACACCCCACGTGGGGGAGGGGGGCTGCAGGACGTACCCCTGCAGATGGAGAGGGTCTCCGGGTTGCAGCACTGCTCTATCAGCTGGTGGCAGCTCTCCACCATGGACTCCAGCTGGGCCTTGTCACACGACACGCCCAGGAACCGCGCCAACTGCTCCACCAGGGTCGCCAGGTCCTGTCGGGGCAACACAGAGCTCAGCCTGCCAGCATCCACACTGCTCGGTACCTCCTCTACAGGACAGCTGCATCACAGGACTAATAATAATAATACTTCCTTACACTTATAAATCACTTTTCTATACACTCCAATCAAAGCTCTCTACAGGTCATGGGGATCCCCTCCAGCACCCCCAGTGTGCAGCCCCACCTGGATGATGCGCCGGCAGCCAGAGTGCGCCAGTACACTCCCCACACACCAGCTTTCAGTGGGGAGGAGAGCAGAGTGATGGAGCCAGTTCAGAGATGGGTATTATTAGGAGGCCATGATTGGTAAATGCCAGGGGGAAATTTGGCCAGAACACCAGAGTAACCAGGGGGATTTTTTATGACCACAGAGAGTCAGGACCTCGATTTCACTTCTCATCCGAAGGACGGCACCTTTTTACAATACAGTGTCCCCGTCACTATACTGGGGCATTAGGACCCACAGAGTGCAGGGTGAGCGCCCCCTACTGGCCCCGCTAACACCTCTTCCAGCAGCAGCCTTAGTTTTTCCCTGGAGGTCTCCCATCCAGGTACTGGCCAGGTTCCCACCTGCTGAGCTGCAGTGGACTACCAGTTGTAAGCTGCAGGGTGATATGGCTGCTGGCATGCTCAGACACGTATAAGATTAGTAAGGTTACTCCAGTACCTTGTACATGTCTTCATATTTCAAGAACAGCACATTGGAGTCCATTCGGTGCTCCCAGAATTCCTGCACGTGCTCAAACCAGGATCCATACCCCACTGCGGCAAGAGAGAGAGACGACACAGAGGTGTGATGGGAAAACACTGCGAGACATTGTTTCTCTCTACGGGACCAGGCTGTGCCCGGAACATGCAGGACCAGCCTGTTGCGTCCTGGGACTCGCCAGGGACTCGCCAGGGACAGGCAGGAGAGCGCGAGGAGTACCCTAACCCTGCCTGGCATCAGGTCTTTTTTCCGACAGGAGTAAGCCGACTTGCAACAGTATCACTCCTTCAGCTCCCTCTCACCCCCTGTCCAGCTGTTCCGCCAGCTGCTTATTTTCCTGCTGCCCGTTTCCCATTACCCAGGGCAGCTGCTACAGTGACTTGTTCGTGTTCAGCTGAAATAAACCGCGACATGAGGAGAGACACGTATTGACGTTGCTCCTTAATCGACATTGTGTGAGGCTGATGTCCCACACCTCCAGGCCTGCAGCACGTACACATTTCACCAGGAGTAAAGAGCACACTGTGAACTACATTATCCAGGCTCCCAGGAAAGTGGAGCACTGCTTCATACTCACGCTTGTCATTCATGAACCGGCGGCAGAACTCCTGAAACGTCCCCCTGTAGCTCATGGTGCGCAGGGAGCGGTGAAACTGATAGTAGGACACCACCAGGTCTTTGGGGTTCCTGGCCATGTATATCACCTGGAAACAGCACAGCAGCTCAGACACAGCTCTAGAAGCGACACACAAGGCCAGGGCACATTGTAGACCACAAAACCAGCAAAAACTGTTTGTTAAAAAAACAACTGAGATACAAAGCTGCCGTGCAAAAAACTTTCCATTGTGCGCTAGATATTGGAACGTCTGTGCTAGTCTGACCTCTTGTATAACAGAATGTACAAGACAGACTGATACACAGGTGTTACATCAATAGCTCGCTGGGCACATTCGGAATGACACTGAGAACAAATAAAGTTCTCTGTGCATCAATAAAAATGGCAACATTTTATAGAAACCCAATAATTTAAACTGCAACCCGATTCCTGCTGGTCTTTGGGAAGTGTTCTCTAACTATGCAAATGAGGACCGTAGCTTACAATTTCTGTTTCAGACATCAGATCGCGGCCTTGAGCCTTTGTGCACGTTTCTTGAAAAACTTCCACTGTCGCCAATGAGAAAGAATATACCAGCACTGCTGGTCCTTATTGTGGAGACCCTGTATCTCTTTCCAGACAAGCATCTAAAGGCAGGGAGCTGTGTTAAAGCAGCTGGAGTCAGACTGGAGAACACTCCAACCTCAGCAGTGAGCAGACTGGCCTGGGCAGTGTGTAGGCCGTGTACTGTGGATGCTGTGATATCAGATGGTCGTACTGGACTTGGAAACAGCCGGCGGCACAGAGCAGGTTCCAGAACCTGCAGTGTCCAGCGTTGCTGTCCGGCCAGCGCAGCCTCACCTTGGACTCTCCGTTGTGCATGGCGGTGGGCAGGAACCGGTAGGGCAGGTGGCTTTTGATCAGGCGAGGAGACGTCAGCTCCTGAAAGAGCAGCAGAGCACAACCCCTGACATGGAAACCTGTTTCCTGTGGCCCACTGCCCACAGGTCTGACATTAGCACCCGTCTGTGCATCATGCTCTGCCCCCAGACTGCAGAAATGGCTTTGACCCGGTAAGATCGGCTTAGATCAACAAAAGCAAGAAAAGGACTCTTAACGCCCACTGTGTGTCACATTCCAAAATGTCTGTTTTTCTGCAAGTCACTTTCTAATAACAGGGAAGTGTCTGGAGGGGGAAAGGCTGGTTTCTATACACTGCAGTTACATCAGACCTGTTTCTGCCCCGTAACTCCTTTTCTCAAGGCTGCACTGCGCTCTGTGGAACGTGCAGGGGGAGGAGGAGGGAAACCTGGCATGCACGCAGTGAGCTTCCGGCCGCCTGCCACACTCCCAGCTCTGTGGAGCAGGGAGAGAGGAGCGTGGTGCCACATCCCGCCCCTCGCAGGGGGCACAGGCTCACGGGGCGCGGTACCTGAATGATGTCGAGGCCCGGCTGGGGGTACTCCAGGACAGGGAGCTGCTCGTCGATGTTCATCAGCCCGATCTCATCTGGGTCCACGCCCTGGCTGACGAGGTACACCACCTCCTGCAGCAGGCTGGTCCCTGAGCACAGGGGGTCAGAGCCGTCAGTCCCCGCACACCAGAACGCCTTACAGAAAGTAACATGCAGCCCAGGCAGACACATATTCCATGAAACACTGTGCTTCTTCCTCCTACTGCTCAATGTGGAATGAACCTCAGCCTGTTATATCAAGCCTGCTGGCATTCAATTCTGTTCAATAAATTCACGTCACTTATGAGAGTGTCTGTCCGCTGTCCTGAACCCAGTTTATTTCCATGGATGTTTTACAGAAATACACAAATGTTAATTGGAAGCAGTAAGAAATCAGGAAATCTCTACATGCATTTAACATTTATTATTCATTATGAATTCACGCCATGCAAAATATAGCATTAGAGGAACTTCTGCTGAGCCAGCGAAGATAGATCCTTCTTTAAAAGGATTGTAAAGAAGGTACAGAGCTGAAAAATACACCAGACACTTGGCCTGGCTCCAGAAATAATCAATAGCCAAACACAGTCACCCGCTAGTCAGTGATTTTGTGAGCAAACAGCAGCTTCCAAGAATATCCTATGCTGAATTTGTAAAGTAAATATCAGAGTGTAAAATTCATTATTTGGTACCAAAAACCTTAGAGACAATAACTGCATGAAGTCTGTGCCCCATGGAGCTCGCCAGGCTCTTGGTGGAATCATTTCAGATGCTCTGCTGCAGTCACTTTAGGTTACAGTTTGCTCATGAGGTGTTCTGACTTATTGAGGTGCTCAGTGGGATTGACTGGGCCAGCCTGGGGATGTCTTGTTATTTCGCTGGGTGTCGACTACAATTGAATGGGACAGTTCCAGAGGTGCCCATGCAGACCAGGCCAGGCCAACGTCCTCCTCCAGGCTTCACAGAAGAGGAGGCTGTGAGTGTTGTGTGAGAATCTGCAGCTCCTTTCTTTCTCCTCACTTCAATCTTTCACTTGGTTGGTAGAGGTTAATCGGGGTCACATTTGCCAACTCACAGCTGGCAGCCCACTGAAGCTCAGCAGGTGTGAGCCTGGTCAGTACCTGGATGGGAGACCTCCTGGGAAAAACAAAGGCTGCTTCTAGAAGAGATGTTAGTGGAGCCAGTAGGGGGCGCTCACCCTGTGGTCTGTGTGGGTCCTAATGCCCCAGTATAGTGACGGGGACACTAGACTGTAAACAGGCGCCGTCCTTCAGATGAGATATAAAACCAAGGTCCTGACTCTATGTGGCCATTAAAAATCCCAGGGTACTTCTCAAAAAGAGTAGGGGTTTTACCCCGGAGACTGAGTCTGATTTCCCCCTGGCCTTCACCAATCATGGCCTCCTAATAACCCCCATCTCTGAACTGGCTCCATCACTCTGCTCTCCTCCCCACTGAGAGCTGGTGTGTGGGGAGTGGACTGGCTCACTCTGGCACTGGACCCGGTTTCACTTTCACACAGCCGGACTCTGGAAATGTGATTGGGTGGGGGGGGGCATCTGTAGACTCAATGGTCAAAGGTGCTAGGAGCAGACTTTGTTTTTCTTGTGTAATAAGGAGGAAATACACCATCATTATGCTTTGCTTTAGACTTCAGACCTGAACAGATCGAAGGGAAAACCCTGAACCGAAAAAAAACTTGGGAAACAACGGGCTTGAAGGGGTTGTCTGGGTGAGGAGAGCAGATCGATCAGGCTTGTCAGGGCTGGGAGAGATGCTCACTGCCTGGGACACAGCAGTGTTGGTAAAAGTACTGCAATCACAGTGCAGAACTGTCACAGGACAGGCACAGTCCCCAACACTGCAATCACATTGCAGAACTGTCACAGGACAGGCACACTCCTCAACACTGCAATCACAGTGTAGAACTGTCACAGGGCAGGCACACTCCTCAACACTGCAATCACAGTGCAGAACTGTCACAGG